TTACAAAATAATCAAATAAGTTATCATTTTATTTTGTTTAAATGTTATTAATTAAATTAATTATAAGAAAAATTTGAAAAATGCTTCAAAAGAATGTAATTTTAAACTCAGTAAACAATTTAAAAGAGTAAAAAAGAAGTTAAAAACTAGGCATGGCCACCAGTTCGGGTCTAACCGAAACCGAACCGGAACCGAATTGTACTGTAGACGAATCGAAACCGGACCGGAACCGGCAGTTCATAATTTTGAACCGAAACCAGCGATTTAAGGGCCGATTAAGGTTCATATAAATCTTAAAATATGAACCGAAATCAGCGGTTAACCGGCGGTTCCGGTCCGGCTCAAACCAGATGCACAAAAAAATTGTAGCTTAAAATTTTTATAAAAAAAAATTTATATCACTTGATTTGATTGTAGTTGATTTGATTTATAGGGAAGAGAAGTATAATGGTACATAAGTTATAAAAAGTGGTGAAAAAAAATACACATTTTTTTATTTAATTTATACAAAAAATGGTACATGAATAGTTGATTTATAAAAAAAAAAAAAAATACTTTCAAGTATATAAAAAAAGAGTGTAACGAATAGTTTTTGATATGATAGGTGTTTTTTATTTATTTTTTGGTATAGGTGTTTTTTATTTACTTTTTTTGTAAATAAATTTTTATTCATTTTTTAATCATTTATTTTTTAATTTAAATACTGTAATTTACTAAATTATCCAAAAATATAGTTGTTAATTTTTCTGTTATAAGGGACAATTTGGGAAATAATAAAATGAGAAATATGGTATAAATATGATGAGTTGATGATTTTTTTAATTTTCAACACCAATTTATATCAATAACTCTTCTCTTATTTTCTCAATCAAAAAATTCTTTTAAATTTTCCATATTTCATTATTTTTTTTATTGCTTTATTTTCCTTAATATTGAAATTAAATCTTTTTTTATTTTTTATTTTCTTACATCCAATTCCAAATTCTTTTCTCTATCTCAATTTTTTCCAATTCATAAATTTACTTCAATTTGATTTTTTTTAATAAATTTTTTTAGTATTTGAAATATAATTTTCCACTCATTTCCATTAATTTTATATTCCATTTATAGTTTTCTTTATATTTAGTGAATTAGCAAATTTTGTAAATTTAATATAATATAGTTTCTAATTTAGTTTAATAAAAGTTTTTGTTTTAAAATTTATAATAATTTATTTAGTTATAAAATTTAAACATTTTAAAATTATTAATTTATTTTGAATTCGGAATCAATTTTATTATTTTTTTAAAAATTTGCGTAATGCGGAACCGAATCGGAACCCTAAATTCGAACCCGGTCGGTTTCACTCGAAACTATGCCGAATCGGAGGTTTCAACGGTCGGGTTCTGGTTCAAAATTTTTAAACATCTCGACCGGCAGTTCAGTGGAACCAGAACCGACAGTTCACCGAACGCGGCCATCCCTCATTAAAAACAAATAATAAGTTACTAATAAAATATTTCTCTCTTTTTTACCATTTAGACTTTTTTAGATTTTTAACTTTAAAGTAACATGTATTTTAAAAAAAAAACTTAGTAAAATATAGATTTTTAACTTTTAAAGTAAAGTGTATTTAAAAAAAAAAACTTAAGTAAAATATATCATGTAGTAAAATATTATTAAGACTTTTAGAGATGTATAAACTAGGCAAAGTGATTATTATTTTGAAAATAAAAATAGAAAATTTTCGGTTCAAACTGGACCAGAACCACTGGTTAACTGACGGTTTAGAGCCGATTTAGGTTCAGATTTTAACATTCACATAAATTTTAACCAGCCCTTCGGTTCAAAGTTTTGAACCGACGATTTCGGCCCGGTTCCAATTCATCTACAGTACTGTTCGATTCCAGTTCAAAATGAACCGGTGGGTATGCCTGTCATCATCCTATAAGTGGCTTCATATATAAAGTATTATTATTTTAGGTAAAAGATTAATAATAAAATAAGAAATTAAAAAAAAAAAAAAGGAGAGGACAATTTATTTAATGATGTGTACTCTAATTGAATACTGGCGGTGTGTGCTCAATTTTTACTGTCCTTATTGTCTGTTTTATTGTTTGTTACAAACTTGAAATTCACAGTACATCAAAGGAGCTTTGTACTCAGTATCAAAATGTATCATCACCGCTCATGTCACTCTGTCTCTCTTCTTAATGCATGACCACCTGCGCTGTCCTTCTATGCTTTGCAGCACACACGTATTCCATAAATTATGTCTATTTCTATCTAATTTTAATATAATTATTAAATAATATTTTTTTTAACTTTCAAATAACTATATTAATATTTTTTTTTATTGACAGAGACTTTAATAAATGAGCATAATATTGTAGTTACTTGACATGTAACTTTTATCTACACTCACCAAATCAGTAGGACCCTTCGTTTTCATAAAAAAATTAGTGAAACTTTTATGATTAAGAAAATTTGAAATTAATTAAAATGTTTTAAATTCACCAAAACTAGCACACATTTACTTTTTCTATTTTAAAATTTTATTAATTTTATCAGAAATATTTAATTTTATATTTAATCATTTATAAAAAAATACATATTCAAATATTAAATACCTGATAACTAAAATATTATATTCATGTCTTATCTCAATTGGAAACCAATAATTATTTTTTGGAAATTTGTATTCATTATATCATAAACTTATTTATAAAAACTCAAACTATATACTTGCGGATTGTGGCTCGGCAATGTAAACTAGGTATGTGAAATAGATTTTAAGTTCGAATCTCACTAAACACCTGCAAGAATGAGCGAAAGACTTTAATTGTAATTAAATTCCGAGTGCTTTAACTGTAATTAAATTCCGAGTTAAATTAGACAGTCCCTGATAATAGAGTCCGGATACTTCTTAGCTTAAACTTTAAAGCTTTCTGTATAATATATCTAAGGATACCTGTGCTTGCAAATCTAAATCCAACTCGATGAGATCAATACATTTTTACCGAAAACATGATAAATTTGATCCAATATAAAGTGATAAAATTTAAACAATTTCAGTTTCAGTTTAGTCGTTTATTTATTTATTTATTTATTTTAAGGTGAAAAACCAGAAACTTTCACGTAATATAATAAAAGCTTTATCAGCATCTACAAAACACCAAATAGAAGACGGAACCTTTTCTATTCAAATAAGTTCTTGCTCTTCTAAATAAAATTTTTAAACAATTTCAGTTTCGGTTTTGTTTTGAATTCATAATATTTACCCAAAAAAATCAATATTATGATATTATAAGAAATTATATTTAGCAAAATAATGGTTACAATAAATTATTTTTATTGTTGCATAATTAATGTAGTTCAATTTTTATTAGACATATAGAAGAGTTAAATATCTGCGAAGTTCTGATTAGTCTTCTTATTTGTCGTAGAAAATGCAGAGAGTAAGGAGTCTTGAATTCAAATTATCATCAATTTGATGAAAGTTATTCAAAAGGGAGGGCTACTACTCAACAGGTAAAATAACTATTTTACAATAAAAATTAAATTCCAAATCAAAATCTCACACTTTTTTTTTTTCATTTTCAACGTGAAATAACTATTTTATAATAAAAATTAAATTCGAAATCAAAATCTCACACTTTATTTTTCATTTTCGAACAACAAATCTCACTTTTTTTTTTTTTTTGAAAGGAGTCACAATCTCACTTGAAGAGAATATAAAAAAAAATCAAATATTTATAATAGATTAAATAACTTTGGAAAAGAAATTGCAGTAATATAGATAGATATTTGGTTTAGAAATAATACTAATTTGTACTATTCTATAATAGTAATAGAGTAGCATTTTTAAGATCATGTCAAAAATTAAGTTGCCTAAATATCCTTTAGTATTGGGGTTTAAAGAAATCAAATCCCATGTAATTCCGACTATCTTATATCAATTTCACCTATTTTATTTGTTGTTTGCCCAATAGATGTTCTCATTGAGGACCCATAGAAAATAATGAGATATTTATAGTAAATTCAAAAAACCTAAGCTCCTTAAATATCCATGAAATTTAGTTGTTATATAACCATTTATAGTTGTTTGGAGAATTAACATAAAACTTTTTGAAAAAATAACAAAAGGTATTGAAACCGATTGGATCAGTTGGTTCTAACTAATTATGAAAACTTTCAGTTCCAGTAGGTTCTTGGAACCGTCAGTTCACAATTTTAAAAAACTTAGAACCAGAATCGGACTGCAACTCCCTAGTTACGTTTCTGGTTTTGGCTTGTTACATTTCTGGTTTTGGTCGATTTTGGTTCCGCACAGTTCCAATTTCGATTCTAACCAGTTCGATTCCAAAAATCAAATTTTAGCCACCCATGGTCATAAACATATAGAGCTTGAAATTTGCTAACAAATATATTTGTTGGTGGCCCAACATTGAAACAGTGTAGCTTTGATAACATGTTATGCAATGGACGGAGCCTAACTCATGAAAAAGCAAGATTAGAAAAACATTATGTAAAGCATTTTTATTTTTATATATATATTTTTTAGAAGAGCTTCCCCTTCTAATCAATGTAGCTTCACCCCTGCTCAACCCGACTCATTTGCTACATCTGGTCATAGGATCAGTAAACTTAGGGAAAAGATATTTCATATAAGATTCTATGCTAGTAACCATTTTACGTAAAATAATATCAACAGCTAGTTGGATCGGTGAAAATAAATTACATCTTCATACGAACTTTATCTTTAAGATAAGTTCAAGATTTAGAATCGTCATTATTGGCCCAGGGCCATGCACACAAGATATATATAAACTTTATCTTTAAGATAAGTTCAAGATTTACGAATCGTCCATTATTGGCCCAGGGCCTATGCACACAAGATATATATATATTATATATATATATTATATATATATATATATATATATATATATATATATACAACAATATATACACATATAACAGTCAACACAAGGGGACATCCGATAAAAATTCAAATGGTATAAAATTAACATAATCCCTTATCTGCCGAAAATAAATCGTAATGAATTATGGAAAAGACATACATGTATTGCAATTTGCAAGTTCCATTACATCATACAAAACTAGTGGAGTCAAGAGCCTCACTAATCTTTCAAATACAGTCTCTCTACAACCACTTAAGGTCAGTAATGGAAATGCTCCATCAAAATTAGGACCGCAACCCAAAAAGAACACAAATTTTAGCCATGCTAGGTTTAATAGAAACCGTGATTACCCTTAATTGCACGCATAATTACGAATTAAACTTTCAATTTATATTATTATATTATTAATAATTAAGTAAACTTCATCTTTTTTTTTGCCCCCTTTTTTTTTATTAAAGTTTGTAAATATTATTCAAGAAAGGGGAGCCCTCTGAGGAGCACCCTTTCTTCTACTACTCAATGAGAGTACAAAACCTGGGAGGAAGCCATTTCCTTTCTTCTTTCTTTTCACAATGACCTCCGACTCTTGTGAAATTCCAGAATTGCCCATTTCATTAGAGCATGATGAGCTTTTGAATTGCATTTGATCATCTAGAATTGAACAACTGGGGGTAATATGAGTATCATCATCAATTATCTCAGAGCTGTCCATCCTTAATCCTTCTAATTGTGAAAATGCGAAATCGGATTCATCAATTCTGTAGAGAATGGCAGACAGATCCTCCCCTTGATCCACCAAATGATTAACCTGCACAATTGCATTTGCATTTCAAGGACTAATTTGGTATAAATAAATACCACGTAATACTTTAGAATTCCAAATGAAAGAAAATATTCATTTTACATTTATGAATCTAATTTTTTAAAATTCAACATAGCTGAACAAAATGATGGCATTTTGCAATTGTTCTATATTGAAATTAAGTTATATGAAATCAAGATAATATGGAAATATAACCTCCCCCTATATTGAAATTAAGTTATATGAATCAAGATAACTATGGAAATATAACTCCCCCCCCCCCCTCTCTCTCTCTCTCTCTCAATAATAATATATATATATAATATATATATAATATAAATATTCAAGAAAATTTAGACCTTTAACTTGTATTGGAGACAGCTACAATAAGCACAAAAACCCAGAAACTGAACAGAGAAAATGGATGCAAGTCTAAGCACGCAGAAAGGCAGATACGCAAAGAAAGAGAGAGAGAGAGAGAGAGAGAGAGATACACTCGTTAATGTCACATTCAAAAGGATATATTTGCAACAAAATGCAACTAAATAAAGAAATGACTGATAGAAAAGTTTTTCCTAATAATTGCAAGAGAAAAAAAGGACTAAAACCCATTAAAAGTTTTAAAACAAAAACTTAAAAAAAGAGAGTTGGAATAGACCTTGCATGAGAGAGAACAGAAATGAAATGGATCTTGAAGAATCCTGTCACAAGTGAAGCATACATTGGCAGAGCCCTTACAAGACCTTGACTGTGGCCTCTGATTCAAGAATATCACTTTAGCACTGTTTATAGTGTAGGGCTTCCCCAACCAAAAGAAACACAAAAAAAAAAAAAAAAAAAAAAAAAAAAAACAACTTCAGCACTGTTTATAGTGGTAGCGGCTGCCCCAACCAAAAGAGAAAACACAAAAAAAAAAAAAACAAAAAAAAAAAAAAAAAAAAAAAAAAAAAAAAAAAAAAAGTCATTAATTAACTTATATTTATAAAAAAAAAAAAAAAAAAAAAAAAAAAAACATCATTAATTAACTTAATTATGTCCTAAAATATCAGATTAGTTATTTCCAACAAAAATTATCAGATATAATTAGTACCTGAATATAAGAACAGTCAATAAGCTTCTCCAGATCCCCTAGTCTAACAACATCATGATAAACATATCTTCTCACCTGTGAAATTAGATCAGAACCCTAAATTATCCAATAATCACCAATCTTTAAGTCCAATTTTTTTTCTTAAAGATTAAATTCAAAATAACAAAATCATGGAAATGTGCATGTGAATTATGGGGTAGATGGCAGTAATTACTTCATGAAAGTGATGTGAAATTTTTATTTTAGCAGATGGAAAAATTTAGGTGAAGAAGTTAGGCAACCAGCCTCATGTGATAAGAGTAAAAAAATAAATGAACTGAGCAGAGAATAAATTATGCAGTTGAAATTAATTTTTTTTTATAAAATGAAAAAATATGGTCAAACTTTCGCTTTCTTGAAAGCAACAGGTGAGAAACCTTTGCAGGGAAAATGGATAGAAAAAAATCTTCCCCATATGGGAAACAAACCAAATCCAAAAGGTAGGAATCAGGGGAGACATGATAATCCGTTTATAGAATAATATGATATTTATATAAATTAAAATAAATCAGGTAGAATTTTTGATGAAAGATAGAAAAATAAAATTAAAAAAAAAAAGACACAGAGAGAATCTTGAATTTGATTATATGAAGAAAGAAGAATTTAACATGTCTTCCCATTGTGTACAATACATGATATGCAAAAAAGAAGCAACAAAAAGGAGTTATGATAAATTAGAAGAAAATAATTTCATAAAGTATGTAAAGAATTGCCAGTTTTTTTCCAAGAAACAAAATTTTATGTAAGAATTAAACTTAACAAAAATATTTAAGAATTCCCATTCAAAATTTTCAGCAGCAAAAAGGCATCAGAGATTCCTCTTCCTCTTCATAGAAAATTTCCTTAAACATTACTAGGTTTAAGATCGAATAGGAACATAAGCAAATCAAGAGTATTTAGGAGAGGAATTCTCAGGGACCTACAAGAATTAATGAAAAATAGGAAGAAAAACTATTAATTGCTAAGTAGATTGAAAAGCAGCAAACACTTTTGTGGAATGCTATAAAAAGTAAGTTTCAACCAAAATTAAGGAATTATAGAAAATTCCCTAATACCAAGAAAAGGAAAATAGAAAACTCCATAAACCCAGTTGACAAAACTAAAAGTTGAGCATTAATTTCAAGAATTTTCAAAAACCAAACAAAGAATTAAGAAAGAAAAAACAAAAGAAAAGAAAAGGGGTGAAAGAAAAACAAACTTTTACTATTGAAAACTGTACAAGAATCATACCTTGAACCTATTGGGTTTTGAAATTCAAAGAAATAACAAATACCCATTAAAGAATTAAGCAAAAGAAGCTGAAAAGAAGCATAAAAAAGAAGAAAGAATCTTGAAAAAGAATGAAAGAGAAGATCAAAACAGTTAAAAAACAGTATTCATGAATTTCCAAAGTACATGCATAAACAATTAGGAGAATAATATATTTACCTGAAGAAGAGGATGAGAGCGATGAGAAGAGAGGCAGTGAGGGCAAATACTAAGGCAACAGAGCAAGCAAAAGATGTTCTTTTCATTTTTCCTGCGATTTTCATGGGACACACAAGCTCCAAAAAACGTCTCAGCCATTAATCGATCTAGCCATGCAGGTTTAGTGCTATTATCACCACCATCGCCTCTACCATCTCCTCCGTTGGCGGTGGCGGTATTGGTGTAGTACATATTTTCTCTAACCATTTGAAATTGTCTGTCTCTTGTGTTTCTTGGAACTTGCAATTTTATATATAGAGATTCTTAGATGATGTGGTATGTCATATTATAGCTTCAAATGCTTAAGGAAACCCTACACAGCAGTACACAAAGTTTTGTTGATAATATAACAATATTTATAACTTTAGTCTATTTAAATTCAGGAGGTTACAGAATTGTTGTCGTTTTGATGGAGAGAGAAGTATGTGTGCTTTTGAGAGAAATGTGAAAACCCAGAAAAGTTAAAAAACTTGAAGGGAGGGAGAGAGAGATAGAGAGAATGTCTGCAATTTGTCTCTTAGGGATTATTAGTAAAGGTTTGGAGGATGTATACTTCATGAGCTATAGCTTATGAAGTCCTTAAAGGTTAAAATAAACTGTAAAGACATTTATTGTTATTATTTATATGAAGTTATTTGAAAACTATTTATTTTTATCAAAGAATTTGAAAAATAAAAGTTAATAATAAATTTAATTAGTGAAACCAAATCAATTATATTCAATTAATTTTTTTTTATAACCTGGAAATGCAATCTCTTTTGAATGTTAGAGCGTTTAAAATTTTAAAATTTTTTTCCGCTTAGTAAATTGCGTTTCAGGAGATCAAATTTACATTCTCATCCTTATATATGTTGACGTCATTACTTGCCTAAATACCTTGTTGGTAATGATAAACAAACTTTGGAAAAAATTGAAAACTGAACCAATCCAATTATTTTTTATTCTTGGTTCAGTTATTTGGTTTTTAATTTCAACTTCAGTTTTTAATTTTCAATTTTCTATAAATATTTATTATCTAAATAAAAATCGAATCGATATGTATAAAATCAAATTGACCGGTTTGATTCAATTTCCAACTTATTTTGATTAAAAAAAAAAAAAAAAAAAAATTTTCAATTTTCTGAAATATTTTATTAGCTTAAAGTTAAAAATCGAAGTCGATATGTATTAAAATCAAATTGACGTTTTGATTCAATTCCAACTTATTTGATTAAAAAAAATTAAAAAAAAAAAAAAAAAAGACTATTTTCGATTCTTAATTTTTAAATATCAGTTGGGTTGAGAAATGAACTGTTCGAAAATGTTAGAAAATGTATCGCCCATTTGTAGGCCCTACTTATTGGTATTAGATTTTTTTTTTAAGCGCACGGGTCTCTAATTCAAGCAAGAGTAAAATTTGCGGTCCACTTTCATTCATCCAAAAATTTTTAATCAATATTATAAAAATGAATTTAGTATAGTATAAAAATATCAGCTTATCATGTTAAATTATTGCTAAAAACATAAATATCATAACCCTTATCTCAAATGATAATAAGTATATAAACTATTTTACGAATTATTTTCTATTGTGCAAATTACTATTTTTAATATTGAAAAGAAAAGTTATAATCAGCAATATTCAATTTATATAGCTTTAAACAGATTTTTTTTTTATAAAAAATTGGAAAAATAAAATTTATATTATTATCAACAATATTTAAAATTTGATTTTACTTGTATTGATTAAATTCAAAAAGAAAATTAATTAGTTTTAAAAATAATCCTTTTTCCAAATTATTTTGTTTTGAAGTTTTTATTGTTCTTTTTATGATTTTTTTACTGGTGTTATTTCATTATTTGGACAGTAATGTAAAACAAGGTTGCGGATATTCTTTTCTTGTGTAAAGAAGAATTTTGAAGATTATCATGTATGGAAATTGCTAAAAAATTTATTTTGTTGGTTTGTTACGGATGGCCTTATACATGCGCTGACTGTATATAAGTCTTATACATGATAGACTAAATAATATTTTTTACTCATTTTATAGATTTTGAGTTTTTACGTGGATAACGATTTTTTATTGGACAAAAATATATTTAGTCTGATGTATGGAAGTGAAAAGAAAACTGCTCAATAATTATTATTATTATTATTATGTAGTAAAATAAGGAAAATGAAAATAGGAAAGAGAAAATGGGAAGAAAGGGAGATGTAAGGTGTATGATGGGGAATGGTGTAAATGGCGGGAATTCAATCCACCAATTTGTACCTAGGGGTGGCCACGGTTCTAGTTTGTACCTAGAACCGGCGGTTCCGGTTCCGGTTCAAAAAAACTGAAACCGGAACTGAACCGAAAAGTTTCGGTTCTGGTTTCGGTTTGGAATCGAATGGTTCCGGTTTCGATTTCGGTTCCGGTTTCGATTCCGGTATAGTGACAAAACCGACGGTTCCGATCGGTTTTCCGACGAATCGCATAATTTTAAAATTTAAAATTTAAATTTTGAAAACCGGTTTTCAAAATTTAATAAATTTGTGAAAGTTATTTGTAAAAAAAATACACCTAAAAAATTAAAAAAAATAGTTCAATTAAATTTATTTTTTTAAGACTTGAATATAATTATTTTTTTTAAAAAAAAAATTCTTCAACTGAATTCTTGAAAATATTAAAAAAAAAAAACAAAACTGACAGTTTCTAACGGCTAGAACTGTCGGTTCAAACAGGCCGGAGAACCGGCGGTTCCAATCCAGTTGCGGTTCCAATCCAGTTCTGACCGGTTTTCTGGAACCGCCGGTTTCGGTTCCAGAAATCTGGAACCGGAACCGAACCGGAAATCTCCGATTTCGATTCCAGTTCCAATTATAGTTCGGGACCGGTTTGAACCGACGGTTCCGGTTCCCGTAACCGTAATATGGCCATCCTTATTTGTACCTCTCTTTAACTTGAGCGCCCCGAGTAACATTTCCCATCACGAGCGCCCCATCATATTCCTTTTACCCAAATTGCCCCCTAATATCTCCATGGGATATGTGCATTACACTGCCAGAATTGCCCGCATTGCATTGCTGGATCTTCCATTTCCCTTTTCCTGAAATTTATTTTATGGCTAAATTCATAAATTCACCCTTTTACTTTTTATGTAAAATTTTACAGCACTCTCAATTTTCAATTTGATATAATAAACACTTCAATTTATAAAATTATAAATATTAAATACTTTAATTAATCTATTCAACACTTCAATTTATAAAATTAGATCGATTAAACACTTATTAGATAGTTAAAAAATATGAAAATTATTATTTTAAAAGTTGTATCAAATACGTATTAAATCAATAGCTTGTATATAAAAATCAAAAACCTTAAGAATTTGGTATTCCTAGCGTGATGAGATGTGAAATTATTATAAAAAGTAAAATTGAGAGTGCAATAAGGTCGATTTTAAAGTTTACGGTACCATAAAGTTCTTTTATTAAACTTTAGGGATTAAGTTATGTATTTTCAACCTTTATGTTATTGATATAACCTTATATTTATTTTAGCTTTTTTCTGTTTCTCATGAACTTTTAAAATTTTTAACCATTAAAAATTTCTGTAAATGAGAAAAATAAATCAGAATAATTTAGTATGAAACAACAATATTTTAGAATCTAAAATGATATTTTCATTTGTCATTAAAAAATAAATAATGCTAAATGAATTTGAAGCGGGAAACTAACCCAGTTTGACTTTCTTTTTTTTTTTTCGAAGTAACTTTCATTAACTCGCTCTATTCGGATGTGGGTATTTTGGTTTGACATTGCTTCACACCAAAAAAGAAGGGAGCTACGTATGAGTTAAACTTGTCGATGGAAGTCTTCTTTCTTGATGGTGAAGCTTTAGTGGCGGACGGATGAGTAACGCGTAAGAACCTGCACTTGGGAGGGGAACAACAGCTGGAAACGGCTGCTAATACCCTGTAAGCTGAGGAGCAAAAGGAGGAATTCGCCCGAGGAGGAGTGGAACCATGCAGTACCAGATACGAGATAGATCTTCCAAAGTGAATTAGATAAATTCTTAACTATATTTATATATGAAACTTAAAACAAAGAGAAATTTCAAAACTGTATTAATTCAATATCATAATTTTTAGGACATTTTAAAATTCTATTTATTTTATAAAGATTTGATTGGATTTTAAGTGTTTTTTTTTAAATTGATTTTATAATAATTAATTATAAATTTGGCATCGTTATCATTGTATCTGTGTTAACAAAGTTTTCAAAACTGTATTAGATGATATGTTATCTTTAATTATCATCATCGTATCTTATCAATTAAAAAAAAAAAGTTTCAAATACTCAAATTCTCTCTTATATGTAGATTGCAGTCCACTATGATTCTAATATTTTTGGGCTCTTTCCTCAAGAAAGAGTACTTACCGTGGTTCTATCTAATTGATGTTAGATCTCAAGTGTCTAATGTTATCTCATTGAGAAGGCATCGACAGTCATTGATTGAATTAACACCATTGTGCTTCATTATGGTGCTATCACATGATATTGGAGCATAGTAAATCTTCTGAGGTTTCAGTAGAGGATTCTCCTCCATATCAACAACAGAAAATTAGCGGGAAAATAAGCTAACAGATGTTAGTTAGCTGCTCATTTTTTGTTTGTTAGTACACATGGATTGCTGAGCTGGAATTCTGTTAGTTTACAGTGCTCTTTTATTCTTTGTGCACATATACTTGTAAAGCAAGATATTCATTAAGTTAATGAGAATTATTTTTCCAATTTTTTCTTTTCTTTCAAACTCAGAAAGTTCACATGCTATCAGAGCTTCCGCAACTGATATTTTATTTTCACTTTCCTTCACTTTCTTAGAAACAAAACACCTTATAACTCACGTTATACTTCCAATTAACATACCAAAATTGCTTCATCTTGTTCCTTGTCCAATTCCGATTACAGTGACATACATTAAATTAGATTTTTCTTATTTCATTCTGTGTTCAAGCAAATGATGGCCACACCTACGATTCATCCAACTCAAGATCCACTGAGTCCGTATTATCTTCATCCAAATGAGAATCCAGCTCTAGTTCTGGTTTCTCTAGTCTTTACTGATTCTAATTACCATTCCTGGTCTAGAGCGATGAAGATGGCTTTACCGTCCAAGAATAAGATAAAGTTCATTGATGGAACTTGAGAGCTCCTCTCATCACAGATCCTTTGTACTCTGCCTGGGAGCGCTGCAACACTATGGTATTATCATGGTTAACTCATTCTCTTTCTCCTTCCATAACTCAAAGTATTCTTTGGATCGATAAAGCAGAAGATGTGTGGAAGGATCTTAGAGAAAGAATTGCTCAAGAAGATGTGTTGAGAATTTCTGATTTGCAAGAAGAGATATATTCTCTTAAACAAGGTGAGAAATCTGTCTCGGATTATTTTACTGATCTGAAGATACTTTGGGATGAATTGGGGAACTTTAGACCTATTCCTGTTTGTACATGTCTCAGTCCTTGTAATTGTGGAGTTTTGGCCAAATACAGGCAATATCAAGAGCGTGATTATGTAGTTAGATTTCTGAAAGGACTTAAAGATTCGTTTGCAACAGTTAAGTTACAAATCATGCTTATTGATCCATTTCCAAACATTAATAGAGCTTTCTCTTTGGTTCTTCAACATGAGAGACGACCCAATTACTCAATTCCTATCTTGCCTAACCCTACATTCACAGAACCTAAAGCTTTTGCCTATAAAACACCGCCAGATAACAGATTCAAACCTACAACCTTTAACAAATTTAATTCTTCCAGACCATTTCAGAAACCACTTCTGAATAATGCGGATACTAGATTTTGCACTTTTTATGGCAAATCTATACACACAATTGAGACATGTTTCAAGAAGCATGGATTTCCACCTGGATTTCCAACTTTCAAAGGGAAATCTCACATGGTCAGCAATGTTATTGCTAGTACAGATGCACAAACAGAATCTGCTGATTGCAAAGTCAGTTTTGCTTCACCTGGTAACTCAGCCAACACCAGTATTCCTCTTATTGAGGATCAGTATTGCACTTTCCTTAATCTCCTGCAGTCTAATCATTTTGACAACAGGCCGGACAATGCTTTGCAGCGACATCCCACAGATTCAGTTGATCTCACCAAATATGTCATTAATAAGCATTCATCTGCAAATTTGATTTCTGCCTTCACTCCTACAACAGGTATTCATTTTGCCTTAACATGCTCTCTTATTAAGGACAAATGGATTGTTGATACTGGGGCTACGGATCATATTGCCTGTAACCTTAGCATGTCTTCTACATGTTATTTCATTAAACAAATTCCTATTACTTTACCCAATGGAAACAAGGTAAATGCTTATATAGCAGGTACTGTTAACCTCACAGATAATCTGATTTTACATAATGTTCTTTACTCACCTCAATTCTCTTCCAATTTGCTTTCTGTTAGCAAATTAACTTCTATGACATTTTGTTATTTTACCTTTCTTTCTTCTATTTGCTTTATCCAGAATCTGAGCAATTGGAGAGTGATTGGTATAGCTAACGCTTGTGAAGGATTATATATTCTGGATCCCGCATCTTCCATTCATTCATTGAAGATTGTTACATCAAAAGCCATGACATCACCTTCATCTAAATCTTTTGATCTCTGGCATTATAGATTTGGTCACCTTTCTAATTCTAGATTCTCTTCTTTACAACATTATGATTCCAATATATATATATATGTCACTCTTCAAAGCAAAAATCATTACCTTTTGTATCAAGTACTTCAGTTTCTAATAAATGTTTTGATCTCATTCATGTAGACATATGGGGTCCTTATTCAGTTACTCCAATCAATAATCATAGTTACTTTCTTACCATAGTTGATGACTTTTCTAGATTTGCATGGATTTATATTTTATCTTTTATCTTTCAAGTCTAGTTGGGTATATCTCCTCAGGTAAGGATTGGTGTTTAGGTAACCGCTGGTTGGTGTTTAGGATTTGACCACTGGTTAGCATTTGGATTTGACTACTTATTGGTGTTTAGGGTTTGACCACTGGTTGGTGTTTGGATTTGACATTGACCACTGGTTAGTGTTTAGGGATTTCTTGGTCCATGACATGTGATGCTTGAATGTCGTGCCAAAATGGTTTCATGATTTTTGGTGCATATAATCCTAGAGATCGATTCTAGGGCCATTACATGCTTTACGTGGATTCAATTTAAGGATCCCATCCATTAGAGTTGGAATATACCTCATCAATTGGCCATGTCATATCAAATGGAACGATTGGTATGCCAAATCCGTTACCCTACTGAAAGGATCAGATGTACGCAGGATTGGGTGAGCATCTTTCTCGACTAGACACAACTCTAAGGAAGAGTGTCCCTAGGTGAGAATAGCAACTCAGTTTTCTTAATTCTAATGATGAAAAGGATCACAAATGATGCATTTGAATATATGCAAAAGGCAATTACTTGCTTAATCCTAAACCGGAGATTCGAAGCCTACTCTGTAGTCCTCTTACTATATTTTTTAGTTTGTAAAAAATGTTGAAGTCCCCAATGGAGTCACCAGCTGTGAGGCCCCTCTTGAGCGCCATAGGAAAGATCCAAAGGATGGAGTCTAGTAACATGGGCCCATTGGTCGATTTCTCACAGAATGACGAGAACCCCTTAAGGTTCTTTTTGTTTATTATGGCTTGGTTTAGCACTTAAGTGGTTGGATTGGCTCTTTGGAACGCTTTAACAATGTGTGGCGTGTTTTAGAGTCAACACCTTAATTTGTTTCTGTTTTCAGGAAAATATAAGGTAAAAACCCCATGATTGACTCCTTCTTAATTTGCCACAATGGATAAAATGCCTAGCCTCGAATCATTGGGTTTGGGGACTAGCGGCTTCTTTCGTATGGATCAATGATTTGGAATCTAAACAAGTAATCAAAATATCAGTTTGCGAGAATGACAGTGTTATAAATTTATGAACATACTTATAATGCATAACAAGTATGCAAAGCATTAAATGCATTATATTGAAAATGATGTAATTCGGAGGGGAACCCGACTCTAGCCTTTTTTATCGAGGATTCTAGGTCGTGCGACACATCCCCTAAATCCCGATCCGTCTATTCGGTCGGGGGCCTGCTACCTAGGCTGAAATCCTATATATACATTCGTACCTCATTTGTATGAGGATCATGGTGCACGAAGTTCTACCATTGATTAGGATGGTAGTGTGTCATTCTTAGAATAGGCTTATAAGGTGTTGGATGGACCAAGCTTTGGGTGCTGGATGGATCGGCTTTGGTTAAAAACTGGTTTTATAGTGTGTGGCGGACAGACCGGGCTTGATAGTTTATAGTTTATAAGATGCCGAATGGGTCGGGCTTAATTAACAAAGTTGAGTTTGAGTGATTATACCTTATGTCGAGGGGTTTGAAGGTCGGGTGGTGTGAGTGTACGGTTGCATAGCTCCACAGTGTAAAATGGCCAACGAGTTCGAGTCTTTCTCCAATAAAGCAAAGGTAGGGCGCGAGGACTCGATTTTAGTCTCATATTATATGTATATTAAGTATCTTTGGACCAAAGAGGATCAAAGTGTGATTGAAAGACGAAAGGGTCGACTTTGAGAACCAAGTCGGATTTTCACTCAATTAAGGAAAAAGAGTAAAATCGGAATATATTGCCTTATAAACATTCACATAAAGGAGAATGAGAGTCGTTGAAGCTTGAGAAGCACTCGATCAAGCAACAAGAGGTGCATGCAAATGGGGGGAGTGTTGAATTTATAGGCTGGCCAGTACCGATGAGCTCTTTGTCGGTACCGATAACCTGAGCACCAGTACCAGTGGAGGCTATTTATGGTGTCTTGTCGGTATCGGATGGAGGTGGCTGGTACCGACACTTGGCTGGTCAGTACCAGCTGAGCCAAATGACCTGGCTAACCTTTTAGCCTGTTTTCTGGGTTTTCGGGCTTTCGTGAGTACATTCGCCATCTGATCAAGCTAATTTGCAAGTTGTTGGAACTGTGACAAAATTTCCTAGGGCCTGGTGCTGAAATCATGGTCAATAGAGACAAATCTGAAGGACGGGTCAATTCGGATAGGCTCATTGGCCGATTTCTCATGGACTAGACGAGAACTCCTTACGGTACCTCTTATTTTGATTCTTAGAACGCTTATGGATTTGGCTCTTTGGAGTGCTTTAGGTGTGTTTTTATTTTTGTTTTTGTAGAAAATATAAGGTAAAAATCCTGTGGCTGACTCCAATTAATTACCACAATGGATAAAATGCAATAGCATCGAGTCATTGGGTTTGGAGACTAGGTTTCGGCTCTTTTCGTTAAGTCAATAGTTTAGAATTAATCAATTAATCAAAATTATTAGTTTGCATGAGTGCCAGATTATTGATGCATGATCTTACTTAGAATGCATGAAAATTATAGACAAAGCATTAAAAGCATAATATTAAGTAAAGGTATAATTTGGAGGGGACCACTCTAGCCTCATTTATCGAAGATTCCAGGTCATCCGACAATGTCCCCTAGAACTAGACTGGTCAGAGTGGTCAGGGGCCCGCTACCTAGGCTGAAATCCTAGATGTGCCTTTATACCTCGTTTGAATGAGGATCAGGGTGCATGAAGTTTTACCATCAATATAGTTTGTAATAATTACTTATTAATTAATTATAGCATTAAACCAAAGAGCACCAAAGTGTGATTGAAAGCTAAAAGGATTTGCTTTTGAGAACCAAATCGGAGTTTGATTCGATTAAGGAAATCAGACGAAAATCAGATTTTATGGCCTTAGAAACGTGCACAAGAGGGAGATTGTGAGTCGTTAATGCTTGAGAAGCACTTGATCAAGCAATAAGAGGTGCTAAGTGGGGGGGGGGGGGGAAGCACTTGATTCAACAAAAGAGGCTGAGTGGGGGGGGGTGCCTAAGGTTTGTCAAAGGTCAATTTTATCTTGAGATTTTTGATATTATGCAAACAAATTTTAAATTTAATATATTTTGCTAATATTATTTATTTATTTATGTTTAAATATGGAAAATAATAAACAAGGCAAATTCCTACAAATCCAAGATTAATTGAAGATCATGAAGACCATTAAAAATTTTAGTGGTTAGCATTTTAGGATTTGTTGTAGATAGAGAGAATATTCATTTATAAGCACAAAAATATTTTTTCTCTCTTTCTCAAAAATAATTTTGGAGAAGTTTCCTTGAAAGTCAAAAATCTCGTTCTTAAATTCGCTTACCTAAATGAAAGAGATTTTGTCTTAATCATTTTTCGTAAAAAATTTTTGAAAAAGATTTTCTCATTTTCGGAAACTATCTTTATAAAATCTCGCTTTTATTCGCTTACCTAAATGGAAGAGATTTTGTCTCAATTATTTTTGATAACAAATATTTTGAAAAAGATTTTTATATTCGGAAACTATTTTTAAGGAAAGTCCAAAATCTTGCTTTTATTTGCTTACCTTAAAAAAAAAAAAGATTTTGACTCAAAACATTTTTGCAACAAGATCTCCGTATCTTCTAGTTTTGGGAAGTCAAAATTCTTATTTAAAAACTAAAGATTTTACTTTGTAAAACGAGACTTTCATCTCTCTCTATAAAAGGCGTCTTTCCCTCGTAAAGACGTGGGTTTTTGTTTTAAGAGTATAAGTCCATTGATCAAATATCTTAATCTCTCAAAACTTGCTCTTAACCCTGTTATTTCTTTTCTTCTTATTGCTTCACGAATTATTTTTAAGAGAAAAGAAAAATTTTATAACAACTTCTTTTGAAAAACACTTCTGTTCTATAAAACAGTTTTCTAAACTTGATTTCTGTTTTTTCTATGCTTACATTTGCATTTCTCTCTGTCTATATAGATTCTGTAATCTGTTGTAGATAGGTTTTTATTTGAAAAACTTTTGTGTAATAGTTTAAGTAAAAAGCTATTGTGAAATAGGTTATCAAGCGACCTTCTCCTTGTGTGGGATTCTAAAGTCTTGATTTGAGTTTCTGTTCTCTGCAAAAACAGAAAGGGTTGAGGTTAACTAGAACCTTTAGAAAAAACTAGAACCTTTAGAAAATCTAGTGGGACAAAGGGTAGATCTAGGTGTTGATCTATTGCCATGTACTGTTGGTTTGTCTCTTACCCTTAAGAAGAGATAACACAGTGGATGATCTCAAGATGAGTCTTAGAGTGTGGATGTAGGCGAGTTAATGCCAAACCACTATAAATCGCTATGTTGATCTTTTTACTCTCTGAAGTTCTACTTGATACAATTTTACTAACACTTCTGTTAATCTTTTTAATCTTTTAGAAATGCTAAGTTGTTAATAGTTTTGTTGTTCTAAACTCGAATAAGCTTTATCTTTATCGAACATTAGAACTCTGGATTTCTGGATTGTGAAAATACCATGTTCTAATCTGTTCTTCTAGATTCAGTATATTTCACAATTTGGGTTTCTAATCAGTTTTCTAAGTTTACTTACAGCTTTGTGTAGCAGTTTAGAAATTCAATAATTGTCTCTCACATACTCTTTAATATTTGTCTAAAC